TGATAGCTGTACGATCCGAAAAGATGTAATTTTTTAATTTTTTTTCGTTTTTTCTACAAATTCCTTCGTCCCCCAAATACATTTTATGTCTATTTCAATCCTGTAAAAGAATTTTCAATTCCGTTCTGTCATTTCGAAGAAATCTTTACAACTGCAATGTGTCGGTAATTCCGACCTTCCAGCATCGCCTTAATAAAGACTGGTAATTTATAATCAGAGATCCAAAAAATCAGAGTTTAACTCATTGATGCCCAAAAATCTCCCAATTTGAAGATTTTAGGGATGCACGATCATATTCTACCCACCATATTGGATTTGATATTCCAAATCCTGATTTGATAACTAAAAATTCATGACTAGCGATCCAAAAAAACTTTGTTTTCTGAATACTGAGTCTTGTACAAAAAGTCATAATTTGGAAATTGCCCGTTTGATCGTCATATCATATTAGATCAGCTATTGTGAATTTTATATTTATAACTGCGGATTCGTATTTAGCGATTCCAAAAATAATGGAAGTAAAAAGCAATTTTAGCGCAGTGAGATATATACATACTGGAATGAGCCTTGGGGTGGTGGGGATGGCCAAACTCTGCAACAGTAATGCGAGAGTGACAGCCGTGCAGCTTAGGGACGTCAGCTTCACTTTAATGACGTAATTGAAGTGAGGCAGACGTCCCTAAGCCGCATGGCTATCACTCTCGCACGGCGGCTACCCCCACCACGCATTTTCTTAGGGAAGGCTCACTCCAGTATGTATATATCTCACTGTTTTAGCGCCCTGTGATTGAATAATTAAAGTTTGTTCCAAAAATTCTTTCACGACAGCTCATTAAGGATCTTGCTATGATCGCCATTTTGAAATTTTCCAAAATCGTCATGACATTATTTGATTTTAAAAAAGCTAAAATTTGAATAATTATACGCCTAAAAGAATAAACCTTTTATGCATAAAACTTGCGTTTTGAGATAGAATAATCCATATATATCTATTATTGTGTGTGTGTGTGTGTGTGTGTGTGTGTG